ATATATAGGTACGCTCATTTAAACTTGTATATATCCATGATTACAGTGTGCGATTAGTAAACCAATTGCTTACTTTCTCATGCACGACAGAGTTGATAGGTCTATCTACCGCATCGTCTTCAAATGTGTACTCGGGCAATGTAACGGAGCTGATATTGGTCGACGAATCTTCAAAACTGTTGAGACTCAGCTCACTCATCTCTTGCGTTCCTTTCGCATTTGAATTATTGTGCTCGTGTGCGGTTTGAGTGGGTCCTATACTTTCTCGTGTATTTCGGATGTGTCCTTGATTGATTACTTTGTCATTTGGGCTCGATGTTCCGACTTCGTGCGACATATTAGTGTGGTTTAGAAAATGGTGTCGGATGGCTAAGGTACTTGTCTGAGTCAATGCATTTGTAGTGTTTTTCGATATCTGTAGGTGTTGACCGATCCGGGATTCGGTTAATACCAACTATTTGATTCTTTTGTACATATACTATACTGCAGACACCAATGTATTTTACTGGCACCTGTGTGTTATACGTTAATTGCGGTTTTCTAATATTTCTTCTCTGTGCTTAACAGGGATAGTCTCGAAGATCTTATTACTTCTGCAATGGCGTATGAACACAGGATCCCGACTGTTCACTTTTTTATTTGTCAAAGTTATGTACAATTCCGTCTACACATTATGATACATAATGATCTATATTTGACTAAAAATGCATAGGTGAAGTGCGAGTTTTGCTGTGTAAATTAAAAAAGACTAGTTGTTCTACAGTTCCATGCATACTTTGACCATTATGAAGTATTAATGGTTTATTCCGTGCAGCGACGGCTAAAAAGCATTCAACTTACCAGCTTTTCTGTTTGTTGTCTTTTTTTTTCTACGAAAAGCAAAATATTATAATTTGTGCTGATTTGCACCTGATAAGGATTTAATAGACAGTTCGGTATCTGCCAGTGAGTTGCAAAATATTAACGAAATTCGTCGGGCTCATCAGTCAGCCCATCAGGTCAACAGACATTCAGCCATCAGCCATCAGGGGACGGGGTCACGGGAAAAAGGCCAGAGATGCAGGCCGGCAGATGAGATATGAAAACATATTCTCAATGGGCCTCCAAAGGGGCCTATTTTAATTTCCACAAAAAAAAACAGAAAAAAGCTGTGTAAGATCAGATAAAAGCTTAGTCATGCAATTTCGACAACGTGGATTCGTATTTATTTATTTAATATTTGTTAGTCCGATTTTAGCCACTGAATCCATCGCAGGTGGTGAATTTCGTCCTTACTATCCCCGGTGTGCAACATCGTACATCCACAACGTGCTATTTATATATATTTGATAGTTGTGGTCTTTTTAATAACAATACTATAGTGCATATACTACCAGCAATCATATTTCTATATCGCTTGGCCTCATTTCTTGGATAGTATCTAGCACTAGACTAATCGACAAATATGGATAGCGCCAATCCTCCCGCCAAAAGTATGTGATTGTGGTGTCTAGTGCTCTCGATGGTGGTAGTGGCGGTACATATAATCGTTTCCTCATTAGTGTTGTTACCAGTATCAGATAGTTTGTGTGTATGTTTCGTGTGTGTTTTTTATGAATGTCTGTATGTTTCGTGTCTATGTGTGTGTTTATGCGTATGATTCTACGAAGGTGTATGTGTCTGCGTGTGTGTGTCCATACATTTATATATATATATATTGAAATTTTAGAAACATTGAAATATTTTGTGATATATGAATATATATATATATATATATATTTATATTTATATATATTTATATATATATATATATATATATATATATATGAGTGTGTGTGTGCGTGATTACGTATAAATACACACATACACACACACACACATATATATATATATATATGTCTATATGTCTGTATATATACTAAAACATA